CCTGCAGGATAGTAAAGATAAGGAAGGGTTTGGACTTCGAGATTGGGAACTTTACTATCAGGCTGCAATAGTAATATGGATTAAAGATTGGGTAAATTTGAAGAATAAAATAATAAAAAAACTAAGCAGGAGCTTGAGTTACAACGAACACAGGTAAATTGGTGGCCGTACCTATAGATCCAAACCAGATATAAGAAAGACACAGAACAATATGGGATATATTTGGATGAAAAAGAACTGGATAAAATTTTACAGTGGGCAGAGGAAAAAACAATTACCAAAATGTATAAGTATTTGTTAAGGCATAAGATGGAAGAAGAAACAGTGAAGGAAACAATAATAACCTGGGCCAAAAATTTTGGACATAGTATAATTTGGAAGATTGGGAAAACTTATGGGAAACAAATTATAAATTAACTCTATCACAAGAGACTATTATGGGAAACTATACACACAAGAGAATATTGATGAGGAAAGAGTTAAACAGTATTTTCAGAATGCTAATTTACCTCAGATACCTAAAGAGATTGAAACAATGTTAGAAAGCAATATAACGATGATGGAGTTAACTGAAGCACTTAAGAAGCAAAATAATGGAAAGGCACCAGGCCCAGATGGACTTCCGGCAGAATTTTTCAAAACATTACAAGAATCATGAACTTTGCATTGTTAGAAGTTATGAATGAAGTTATGTTAAAGAAGAAGATACCTAAATCATGGTCAGAAGCTTATATTACATTTGTTCCAAAAGAGAAGACTGATCCATTGCAAATTAAGAGCTATAGACCCATTTCTCTATTAAATGCAGATTATAAAATCTTTGCTTCAATATTGGCAGAAAGACTTAAAAAATATTTAAATAATTTTATCCATCCTGATCAAAATGGATTTCTGCCAAAGAGACAAATTAAAGACAATACCAGAGTAATCTTGGACACTTTGGAATACTACGAGGCACATCCTGAAAAACAAATGACTCTGATATTTCTAGATGCACAGAAGGCATTTGACAATGTGAATTGGCAATTCGTGTTATTACTGCTGGAACAGATGGGCTTTGCTGGAACATTTATTTAAGCAATAGAAGCTATATATCATAAACAGACGGCAAAGGTAATGATAGAGGGAGAACTGACAGAATCTATTGATATAAGAAAAGGAACAAGACACGGGTGCCCACTATCACCTCTGCTGTTTGTGTTAACTTTGGAAGTCCTAAACAGAAATATTAGAGATGAAAAGAATATAAAAGAATATAAAAGGGATGAAAATTAAAAAGGAAGAATTTAAGTTGCAAGCATTTGCAGATGATCTGGTTTTTATCTTAGAAGACCCAGTAGATACAGCATCAAAATTGATAAAAAAGATAGAGACATATGGAAAGGTGGCTGGTTTGAAAATAAAGACAAGACAAAGATCTTGACCAAGAATATGCTATAAAGACAAAAGGAAGAATTGGCAGGCCTATTGAAAATTCAGGTCACGAATAAGATCAAGTACTTGGGGATATACTTGACAGCAAGATGCAGTACACTAAAAGAGAATAATTATATTAAACTTAAACAGCAGATAGCGCTAGATTTGGCAAAATGGGAAAATTTACAACTGTCATTAATAGAAAGAATATCAACAATCAAGATGAATATCTTACCCAGAATTTTATATTTGTTTCAAACAATTCCAGTTAGGCTTGGAAAGACTACTTTGAAGATTTAAATAAAATTGTGTTGAAATATATATGGCAAGGTAAGAAAGGGAGAATAAAGTTAAAACTTTTGTAAGATGCTAGAATAAGAGGAGGATTTGGTTTGCCTAATTGGGAGTTGTATTACCAAGCTACAAATTTGATGTGGGTTAAGGAATGGATAACATTAAGAATTATTAGATTGTTGACATTTGAAGGACATGATCTTTTGTTGGGGTGGCATGCTTTTTTATGGTATAAAGGAACTAAAACACAGGGGTACTTTAGAAGACATTATATACAGGAGTCTCTGTGGCTAAATTGGGAGAAGATTAAAAGACAATGTTATTTGAAAATTCCAGTCTGTCTATCGACTATTGAAGCATTTTCTTATCCTATAACATACAAAAAGGAACAAACAGTTAGATGTTATGTCTCCTCTTGGAAATTCAAACGAACAAACAGAAAGCAGCCATTTCACAATCAAATCAAACTGAAGGAAGTAACAAGATAACGGCTGGCAGAAACTGTTAGGACTCCCCTTCGAAATTCAAACAAACAAAACAGAAAGCAGCCGTTTCATAATCAAATCAAACTGAAAGAAATAACAAGATAATGGCTGGCAGAAACTGTTAGGACTCCCCTTCGAAATTCAAACAAACAGAGAGCTCTTTGCTGTAACGTCCTCATTCAAAATAGTTATTTTGTTCCTGGCAAAATGCACCAGCTCAGCTGTGTCCTTTTATACCCATTAAGGCAACGTGCTAATTAACTGGCTTGCCCTTCAGATTAACGTTTCCTGGTTCTGACGTCAATCCACGATCTAACAGTCATCAGAGTCAAAACTCCCAACAGGATCGATCCTTCCAATCACAACAGTTAGATATGGTGAAATATTGAATGAAAAGGGTGAACTCAAATCTATACAAAAACTAGAGGAACAAGGTATAAAGATGAATTGGTTTTCATATGCGCAAATACATTCAAGGTATGAAAAAGATTCTAAAACGGAAGGTTTCTATGATGAACTGACTGACTTAGATAAGATTTTGACAGGTACTGATGAAAAAGTGATTAAAAAATTGTAGGATATTTATTAGAAATTAAATTAGAAGAACAAGTTAAAGAAACGATGATTGCTTGGGGGAAGAATTTTGGATATGGGATTGATCTAGGGAAATGGCAAAAATTGTGGTCTCAAATTTATAAAATGACAATGTCAACAGCATATAAAGAAAATTTGTATAAGATGTTTTACAGGTGGCATTTCCCCCCAACAAGAATAGCAAGAATGTTCAAGAATAAATCCGAAAAATGTTGGAAATGTCATCAGACACCTGGCTCATATTACCATATGTGGTGGACTTGTGCGGATGCTAAAAAATACTGGACTAAAATCCACACGTAGTTGGAAAAAATGTCAAAGAAACATAGATTTGAAACCAGAGATATTTTTATTGGGAATTTTACCTGAAATATATAGTAAAGACTTGAAATACCTGATTGTAAATGTATTAACAGCGGCTAGGATTGTATTTGTTAAAAACTGGAAAAATGAGAACATACCATCACAGGAGGTAATCATTAAGAAAATATTAGAATGTGCTGAAATGAGTAGATTGACATTTGAAATTAGAGAACAGGATGATAAACAATTTTATAAAATTTGGGATCTATTCTACCAATGGTTAGACAATAAAATATAGTAATGAAATATGTAGACTTTTAGAAAATAATAAATATATAAAAATGTATTTTGTTTTCTTATTATATCTACAAAATGATTCTAGGATAGATCTGGGATAATAAAATGAATTGTTATAAAACAAATTAAGTAAAATATGATCATTTTGGAAAACATGAATGAATAAAAGTATAGTCAAATGATTGATTAATAATGATATCAATGTATTCAATATTTGTTTGAAAATATGAGATTATATACAATGTAATTATAATTGAAGACCATGAAATGGAAGCACAAACAATTTGTAAACCTACCGGCACACTGTATGTACATATATGAAAGATGACTTGATGTTTTTATGTTTTGTTTGTCTATGTTTGTTTTAAAAACCAATAAAAAATTTTAAAAAAAAGTTCTGAGAAGGCAACAATGTTTTGAAGAAATTGCAGCTCCATGAATTTTTAACAGAGGTAAATATAAGGGATACATTTAAGCTAAGACAGATGAAGGAGCATTAACGTGACAATTACATTTTCTACTTTGCTAGTTAGGTAAGACATTTTTTTTGGAAAGACCTTGATAATTGCCACCTTTAAGTTCCAGTTGTGGCATGATTATAACTGAGGACATCTGCCAAAGTATCATTAGAACCCATGAGGTGTATGCTTGAGTTTCCTGTGTCAGAGTGCAAACTAGAACAAACAGCCATGTACCTTGTTTGCTTGCATTATACACTCTGTGATATTGTCAGAGGAATTTGAATGCTCAAAGTACATTTCTAGGTGATATATAGAAGTGTTTCTCAGATTGATTCCAGCAACCCTCGACATTAAGGCAATTGTAGTGAATTCCATAGGTATTTTGTGAAAAGTTTAAATATAATGACTCTAAAGGAACAAATTTTATATATTCTGAACAAGCAAAATTTATTCATTGTAGATAGGAACTGACAATTTGAAATTATTAGTAAATCCTGTAACTTAAGAAAAAAAGAGAGATGGTAAACCTTATTGAAACTCTTTCACTGGATAAATACTTTTCAGTTTATAAAATATTTATTTCCAATTTTAATTTTCTTCAATAACTTTAAAATTAGATTATCATTCTTCTCAAAAAACACTGTCATATCTAATGAGGTTTTTTTTCTGTCCCTTCTGTTTTCCTGTGCTAAAAGTGGATATATGGCAGTTCACGCCTCAGATAGAACTATTGTCATCGTTGTTTCCAAAAAGATGCCTATCCTCCACTACTAATTCTACTTCCTCAGTAAAAAAAAAATTCAACCTCATATAATAAAGCTGTGAGGTTGTCCTCTCCTTCTTTTGAAGCATGAATCTGCCAATTCTCTAGCATTGAAATGGTGACATTCATAACCTATTGCTGCCTGCTTTCTCTCAATAAAGCAGAGATATTTTAGTAAGACATTCAAGACTCTCTCTCTGTCACCACACAACAGCCATTTATATTTAAGGAGAGCAGAACTTTGTCAGCCATAATAATAAATAAATATAACTCTACCTGTGCTTCTGATTTCTTCAATTTCAGAGCCTTTAGCTTCATCACAAAAACACAACACAGTTATATAGTCATATATGCGTTCATAGTATTTTGAAATAATTGAGAACTTACTGGAACTGAAAGTAGTGGTTGAATCTTATGAAAGCCAGGAACTGGACACAACAGTTTTGTTGATGGTTTCCTAAAGCAAGAGAGGGAATCATAATTAAGTGAATAACACATAATTACTTATAAGATTTTCCTGATAGTTTGTTAAATTCCAATATTGTAACTAATGAAATTGCAGAGTCCTGGAAGTAAGGCTGTTTTGTAGCATTCTGCAATTTTGTGGAAATGCAGTACAAAACATACATATAGAACTTCATTCATTATGTTAATATAATACCTGGTTTTTCAGCTTAATATGTTGTGTGAACTAACTATTGTTTCTTTTACATTATGGTTTAAGTGGATTGTGTTATGTTTATTTGACAAACCATATTTTAAAAAACCATTTGCCCTGCATAACTGCAAAAAACAAACTAGAGCACTTTTTCCTAATATAATCACCCACTGTTTTAAATATATCTGAGTATATTTGCCATTATTGTCTGGAAATAGTGGGAAAATTAATGGAAAATATTGGGGAATGCTCTCACTTATCTCAAAATCAAAGAAAAATGTGCTTCTTTAGGGAAGAAAGGCTCCAATGCCCTGATTTGCATGCTGATTTACACAATTAGTTAAAGCAAACAATCATCTAATTCGTTTATTACAAAAGGTAGGGTAACTCATATCAATCTCATACCTTTTTCTTGGAACTGCTTTGTTATTAGATGTTTTTAAAAAGAAATGGTAGCTGTCATAAGGTGTCTTGCTGGGCCTACCTCTCTTTTTGCGGCCACCATTAACAGGACATGGTGGCTAGGGTTGCTGGAGCAGCTGTCTCAAGGCTGTTACACATGGATGGTAGCTGTGACCATTAGGTAAGGGCGTGTGGGGTGTGTGGGGCAAGTTCCTCCCCCTTTCCCCACTTCCGCCTAGTCTCCTCACCTCGTGCTATCTGAACTGCAAGCAATAAGGAGGCCCAGTGACACGTGGGGCATGTTGCTGGGCCTCCTGCTGCATTTGTGGCTGCAAAAGCGGCCACGCTTGCTGGAGGCAGTGGCCTAAGTGGCACCCATGAAGCAGCTGCTTAGTGGACAATGGAATGGCCTGCTTGACCGTTCGGGAAGCTGATGCAAGGGGTCACTCATCCCCCACCTCCTACTGGTACATTGGGGGGAATTAAGATACCCCCAAAAGAAACCCTAGCCATTTTTTCAGGGGTTAAAACAAAATAAGACCCGTCTTATTTTCTTTGGGGAAATACAATACTTACCTTTTATCCTCAACTATACAAAATGATGGAACATCCCATTCTAAAAATGTAGTTCCTTCATATTCTAAATATATCTGAGAAAAAAGAACATAGTAATGTCCAGTAAAACATATAATTGATATAAAAATATAAAGATCCAAACAATAATGCAGATTTATGCATTTCTATTTACATACTCCTTTAAATCCAATAGAACTCTGGACTCTACCACATGTGATTTCTGAACAAAAAGAGTTACAAATTCCAATTCTACAGACTTTGGTTGGTGTTCAAACATATAGCAAAACTTCCAGTTTTAAATTTATTGTTTATCAAATCTATATGCTTCTCATCTTGCAGCTTACAACATAACAACGTATGAAAGTAAAAACAATGATAAAATATTAAAACAGATTAAAATTACAGGAGATTAAAACTAAAAAAATGATGGTTTTAGAGTGGAGAGGTGGCGGCGGCTTCTCTGTTCAGGAACAGGCGCAACTCACACACAATACAAAGTTGCCAAAAGACTCTCCGAGACACAACTGCTACCTGCTTTTTGAGCAGGAATCACAAGTCTAGGCAAACCCGCAAGTTGCACACCAGGTCTGTCTGGGATAGTGCCACCCCATCCAGAACTAAAAATGGTAAACCTCCAGATCCTGAGGCTTCATGAATCTACAGTCCACTCCATATTACCAGGGTTCAGTTGAAGCCTGCTGTCTCCCATCTGGGCCCCTACAACTTTTAGGCACTGTGACTGGGCAGTCACAGCATCACTTGAATCATGGGGGAATAGAGATGTAAAGCTGAGTATCATCAACATTGTTATGCTGGGGCCGATTGAAAAGACATGACACACCGGATAGTGACTACAGCTCTTTTATTAGAAGATTGGTAAAAGGAAGTGAATTGTCTTGCGGCAGCTCTCCCTTTTAAAGAGGGCTGTTGGACAACCAATGACAGCTATTCAAACATCCCGACAACAGGTAGACCAATCATTTTAAACTTACTCTTTTCCTACTGGAAAGACGGACTGGAGGGAAACCTTTGCTCCTTGGTTTCCCTCCTCATTAGAATATTCAACAAACATAGTGACGATATCTTATCCAATAGTGTCAAATGATCTCACCTGGCAGCTTCATGTAGATGTTAAAAAGAGGCAGATAAGAGTACCAAGCCGTATGGCACCCCTCAAAAGAGTGGCTATGGGCTGGACCTCTCACTCTCTATTAACCAACTGTGAAAGAAAACCAAACATTGTGCTACCGTCCCAAATCTTGCAGCCAGTCCAAAAGGATTCACTGTCCACAGTATTGTAATGAGGTAACATTAAAACAGGTCACAAATTCTATTTATACCCTGGTCTCTAAATTGTGAAATGAAGGTTTAGCCAAAACACTATTAAACTGACAACTTGATGGATATATTCCAGAAAAAATATATACAATTATTAATATATTCTCATATATTAGTACAGTAAGCTGCAAATGAATAACAGTTTGTTCTGTAACTGATACTATAGCAGTTATCCCCCAAACAGCCAGTTTGTGCAAATGTAAAATTGGAATCTGAATCCAAATTATGTATATGTTGTATTACACTGTAAATATAGTTCAATGAAAGATGGCAAAATAGTTTAGAAAATTTCAAATACTACATACATAATGCAATACAGTTTATTTTGAACTCTTCACACAAAAATATGTTTTAACGAGGCAATCCAGGTAGATCTACTTATCATTTATATGGATTTTGACAATAAGTACTTACAACAGTTCTTGTAGAAATCAGCAAAAAGCTTCCAGTGTTTGTTCTATACCTGGAAGAAATTTTTTACAAAAAGTTATTCAATAACTGCTAATACTTGCATCTTGCATTCCACTGTCATTTATATAATGGTTAGTTATGAATTATTCTTATTCATTATTTGGCTGCCTAATTTTCTTAAATTAAAAAAAGACAAATCCATCCATTAATACTGAAGAAAGTGGTATTCCATTCTTTCTAAGCCAGTTCTTTGATCAAATTATTTTTGGATCCTGCTTTTTACACTTTGGAAAATAGTAACTTGTAGTAGTGGTCTTTTTCTCCTCCATATCTGGGTGTTGACTGTAGGTGGGAAATACTTTAGGCAACACAGAAAGCCTTTATGAAGGGGCTGCCAAGTTTTTAAATACTGCACAGAAACAAATTATACAGGTGATATGTAATAAAGCAACAAAAGATACAACCAGATATCCTTACAATGTTACATTTCCTTTTCTACTGGGGGTTTGATTTGTTTGTTTGAAGTCCCTGAAAGGCTATTTTTTGCACATCAAAAGCTTTGGTTCAAAGGAAAACATGGTTTCCAAAACTTCAAAGAAGGCATGGATGCCATGTTTAAAGAAAAAGTGGTGTGTGAAGAGAGAGCCTTTTCCTGCTGTGATAAGAAAAAATGGAAATTCTCCAGGCTTTTTTATTCGCCACACCGGGACAATATAATTTTCTAGTTGGAGTGAAAGCAGTCTTTATTTAAAAAAAAAAAAAACGGGAGGAGTTAATCCGAACCGAGTACCAGTCTTTCAATGCACATTGCAATTTTGACTAGAAAAATACTTTTAACATGTTCCGTGTTTTATTTGTTGTAGAGCAGAGTCACGTTTCTTGGAACACAACGTCGGTTATGGAAGGTTGATGCCAGCCTCATCCCCCACCTCCACACTGCTCCGCAGCCGCTCCACCACAGGCAATTCAGCAGCAAGGGCAGGATCAAAAAGCCAGCCATCAGAGCTGCGCAAGAAACACGCCAGCCCGCTACCAACAACGGCCGCGGCGCGCTCTCCCCCTCGCGGCTCAGGTAGCGCCACAACTCAGCAGCGTTCGGAAGAGATTAACAGGAACTACGTTTCCCGGGAGACCCCGCGGCTCTAAACTGCGGCGTGGTTCGTCGACTAGAACCCTGGGAAGTGTAGTCTCTTCCATCCAGGCGCTCAAAGCGGCACGTTGTTCAGGTTATGCAGATGAGGAGGCAAGTCTTCACATCAGCTCACGCGGGGCTATCGAAGAATGACCAATAGGCGGCGGGCACCGCAGGGATGAGATGCGGCAATGGAGTTAGCTCTGCGTGAAAAGGGCGGGGAAAAAGGCGACTTCAACGGCCGGGATGGGGTCACCTTGACTCTTTCTGCGGCAAGGGCAGAAAATGGGTGGAGGAGGAATAATGAAAGCGCCTCCTGGGTTGCGGTCTTTCGCGCCCATAATTTTCTATACTAATTGGAGCGCTTTGTATAGGTACGTTTATTAACCTGTCTCGCCGGTACTGTACTTCTGAGCAGCAACCAGTTGATTTATGGGGCTTTCTCCACTGAGGAATTCCAATGCGAGCAACAGCTCACTTGCTGCGAAGTGCGGCTGGCATTAAACATGCTGTCTTCCTAGCGTATTCCTATTTTGCCTCTTACTTTTTGCTGTGACCCGCGGTGGGGACTGATTAAGTGTGACAATAGTTGATTCTTCTAGCTTTGCTGCCCCTCACTGGTCACATTGCCAACCCCTGGGAAACATTTGCCAGTTTCTGCTGTGGTGTAAAAGGAATGTGGGCAGATCTCCAGATGTTTTCCTGTGCCCCTCTTTCTACTGTTGTCATGGTCAGAGTTAAATAAAATAAAAAATATACTGGAAGAAGGAAAGCAACTTGCTTCTTTCTCCTCTTTTTCTCTTAGATAAATAACAAATGCTAACTTCCAGATTCCTCCCTGTTCTGGCCAAAAGCAGGGGCTGATCCCATTGTTTCAGAGTTAATGCTATTTCAGCCTGTAACAGCATTTCACTACTGCAGCGTACAATCTGTTTCACTATTTCAACTCCTGGCAAGCAGTTTTCTTATACAGTATGTTTCAAGTGCCCCGGTCTTCATCTCCTTAATGGGACAGCAGCAGAACATCACGAAATGAGACTGACTGGGCTAGAGAAGCCTGCATCAGCCTGGAAAAGTCAGTGAAAGCTTCAGTTTTAACCTGGCAACCCATAAAATTTTGAACACCCTACAATTACTGCATGTTGACATTCAAAAGGGGAATATAGTTTGGATGAAATGAAATAATGGTAAGCAAGTACGGCAGATTTTACCAGAGCATGCTTATACCATGGTTAGGTGCAAATAGGGAATAGTTTCATGTGATTCTTCCTTCACTTTCTCCCTAGCGTGTCCTCTGTCACTGTGGCCTTTTAAACTACCATGCATGTAACATTTAGTAGGTCCAGAAATGCTGATAAGCCAAGAACATATACTGGGAGATGAATCTAGGCTCTGGGAAACAAGGACAGGATAAGATAAAAGTTAACACTTTAGAAAGAAATGTATGTTCCTAGAACACTGCCCTTTTGTTTTGTCAGAAGTGCCATTGTCTTAGTAACACTTCCTTTTTACTTCATAATTCTACCCTAACTGCTTCACTGATCTCAACCCTAAACCCAGGATGTGCTGCATTTATTTCAGTGTTTCTCAAGCTCTTTAAAATGTGTGGATGCATGCTAGCTGAGGGATTCTGGGAGTTGAAGTCAATACATCTTAAAAGTTGACAGGGTTGAGAAACACTGAAATTCTAATCAAAAGCCTTGCTCCTGTGTCCAATCCCACATATATGAATATAGTGGGAAGGTTTGCTTCCACACTGGGTTTATCTTTTGCCTCTGTACTGAACTGTAATAAACCAATTGGTGCTTCAATGAAATTGGCCTCCAATCTAAATGAACTGTTTTTCTCTACAATTTGGTGTCAGAGTGTGATGATCGGAAACAAGGAGGCTGAGATGATGCCTCTGTGGCAACCATCAGGCAGTCTCCCACTGAAGCGCAATATAAAGTTGTAAACTGCAATCTCCTTTGTGTTTTGGGAATGAAGCCAGTCTGAGAATGTCTGGAATCATACAAATGCTTTAAGTGAAGAGTTTTTGAAATTTTTATATAGCTTTCAGGGTTTCCCCAATGTAGACCTTTAAGCCCTTTCCCTCCTACTCTCCGGTATTAGTACAGTTTATTCTGGATAGGGCTAATGTTACTATCTCAATTACAATTAGCCAGCTAGATCAGATAACCACACCCTTGACCTTTGGTTTACTTACAGTAATCTTTTCTGGTTTTCAAAA